ACTTAGGTTGATTTTTCACAGGAAACTCCAAGTGGTTTGTGATTTGCCTACTCTTGCTGTTCAGAAGTCCAATTCCCAGATCCCTGCTGCCACTCTTAATTCTGGCTTATCTCTTCTCCCCTCACTAGAGCAGTTTCCTTTCTCTGTCATACCAAGTACCAGTTTCGGTTTCCATTCCAGAGGCTGAGCAGAGTGTTACTCAGGGGTCTGTCAGGCTATCAGGCAATAATGGGTGAAGTGCAGGAGGTCACTTCTGCACTGCAGATGCCTCCTGATTGTTGGAGGAATAACCCTTTCTCCCAGGAAAATAGGAATTTTGTTGTTATTACAGATAGTTGACTCTCCTTGACTTCTCAGTGATCTGAGTGCCTTGGGCATGTAAATGTAAGCCCTGATTACTGGCTTCATGTTGATTTAGTTTAAGATAAATTTGAATGAGAGGATCATAACTTATGGAGCAGTAACGTCTACATGATAAGGCAAATGAAGGCACAGATTAGTAAAATGGTATCGAGATCTGATGCACACGTACAGGTATCTGAGATTCTGTTATATACTGTGAATGTTAAAGCTTCTGCGCTAAAGCCCAATTTTAGATAAAAACTATTGACTTTATTAGGGTCCCGGCATAATCATCTTCCCCTTTTCACCCTTTTGAGTGGGTTTCTTTGGAAGGAAACAAAGAAACAAACAAACACAGACTCCTGTGTGCAGGAGTCCAAGTCTAATAAGAATGAAGTTTAAGGGATTTAGTGGGGACACTCCTATTTTGGTAATGGAATAGAGTCTGTGAGAAGGGGACCTATAGGCTAGAGAAATCTAACTTAAAGGGACGGTGGCTAATTTTTGCCTCCCTTTTTGATACTATTAAAGAAGAAGAGGAGTTACAAAATCTAAGCTGACTAGAAATGCTTTGATGATTTCTTTTGTTGTTGCACTAATACTGGTTTCTATTTACGGATGTAGCCATTTTCCTGCGGGATGGTGAACCCCAGCAGGCATGAGATCCAGACAGACAGCTGGGCTATATACAACAGTGAAACGGACTAGTTTGTTTTCCATTGTCTAGACTGAGGGATGTGCAATAAAGACAAACAGCCAGAAAAAACAGTGGCAAGCAAATTAGAGTGGTTTAAAACTCGCCTTCATTTGTAATAATCTGCTGGGCTGACTTTCAGAAGAACTGAGCACTCGCAGCTCTTGCTGAAGGAGATTTGGGTGTTCAGCACCTCTGAAAATCAGGTCATAGTTTATTATTAGCCATGCCACATTCCACTGCACTTGGGAGACTGGAAGCAAAAGTGGTCCTGCCGTGGGTTCCATAAACCACAGAACTGAGCTCTGCAGTGTTTCTTTCTCTATGGGGTGTTGTGGGAAGGCTGGGGAAGTTGTGGAGGCATGGACGGTGGGTGTACAAACTGTACGGATGCACTAGACCACACCACCACATGGAGGGGGGAGGAGTAAGGTTCGACCATTACTGAAACCTATGGCCCACGCTACTACATCCAGGTCATCTGGGTGCTCTGCATGCCACCTAGGAGAGAATTGTGTGCCTGAGAGTGGCCACATACTGTACCAGTACATGCATATGTGCAAAGCTTTGTGCTGAGGAGCAGAAACTCATTCTGTGATCGTTAATATAGCGTGAAGTTGCTGGGTAGCTTTTAATATGTTCAATGTCTCAAAATGATGGTGGGTTTCTGTCTTGATTTACTCTGCAGAATGCGTGAATTCAGGAAAGGACACGAGGGTGCATTCCTTGGACTGTGGAGCAGCTCATATGCTCATTCTCTCCTCGGATGGAAAGCTTTCTGAGCACAGCATTTCAGCCCCAGCTAATAAGTCGGAGATGAGGTGGGAAATGTCTCAGTGGATGGTGATGATGGTTAGAGAACGAGACCAGTACTTGGTGAATACCAAGTTCAGAGAGTGACCAAAAATGGGGGGGAAGTTGGTCCAGAGCTGGGGGTCCAATAATGAACATAAGCAGAGAAAGATCTGGGCTTAAGCAGCCCAAAATCAGGGTAAGGGATTGAGAGGAGAGGGGACAGTTTAGCAGGAAATGTGGGGCCTGGTGTAACTGACAGCCAGCTAGAGAGTGCAGGGAGAGATAAGAAGGATGGAATGGTCTTCAGAGGAGGATAGATGAGGGAGGTCCTGAAATAATAACAGGGCAAGAGAAGGAACCCATCCATCACTGTTGCCCCAGCCACTGGGAAGGGAAGTAGGGAATGGTAGTACACCTCTACCCCGATATAATGCCACCCGATATAACACAAATTCGGAAATAACGCGGTAAAGCAGTGCTCCGGGGGGGCTGGGCTGTGCGCTCCAGTGGATCAAAGCAAGTTCAATATAACGTGGTTTCACCTATAACACGGTAAGATTTTTTGGCTCCCGAGGACAGCGTTATATTGAGGTAGAGGTGTAGTAAGCCAATGGTGCACAGTGGCAGAGACTGAATTAGTAGGGTATTGTGGGGATATGTTTCCCCTTTGCCTAGGGAAGAAAGAGTTTGTTTGTTTTTCAACCAAAGAAAACATGGGTCTAAAATGTAAGTTAGGGGGTAGCTTTGTTTATACAGAAAGCATGGTCAATGCCCTGAAAGACCAACCACGCTGGAACGGGGCTTGAGCGTCACTGGAAGGGATGCACAACCCCAAGCTGATTCCTGTGATTACATTGAAGTGCATTGAGCATGTTTGAGGACAGCAGTACTTACACGTAGCATATGAGTGCCTGCCTATTTCTCCTAAGGATGACAGAAAAGTGCATCCTACAGCAATGGACCGAGAGGTGCTCTGTTATAAAGGAGGGGGATGGAGCAGAGTCCGGTTTGGAGCCTACTTTGTTTTTTTAACTCAGCAAGAAATAGACAATTGAGGATTGTTAATCGTACTGGACTAAATGGACTATCTGAGTACCAGATTCCCTAAGCATCAAGAAGAACCTTATTCCATGAGCCCCACTGGTCTCAATGGGACTACTTGTGGAGTAGAGGTACTGCTCAGTGTGGTGAGGGTGGGAGAACTGGACCCAAAGTGACCATGTAGCATCTGACTGAACTGTATTGATTGACTCATCCACTAACCTACAGGAAGCATATAAGTACACTGCCATCCACCTGTGTGATGTTGTATTCTGTAACCTTGCCCCAGTCAGAGTTTAAAAAATATGTAACTATAAGGCCTGATCCTACTCTAATTTACATTGGTCTAAATCAGGATCAGCTCAACTGAAGCCAATGGAACTACACCTGGGCAGAAGCAGTGTGAGTAAGGTTAGAATCAAGACTATACAACATTTAAGCATGCTGAAAGTGGTAGAACAGGATAAAAATAGATTCTCAGGCAGGCTCTTATTGGATTAAGATTAGAATCATTTATGTTGGATTCACAGCACTTCATGTGTTTTTTTTTTCCAGACTGCTGAAAGAATTAAGAGACAAATACATTGTCCAAATCGCATGTGGGGACCATCATTCCATGGCACTGTCTAAAGGTATTCTCCTTGCTTAGATTTTCTCTAAAGTATTAAATTGGAGTATTGCAACCCTCTCCTCAAGAGCTAAAATTTTAAGCATCACAATTAGTTAATGTATTATTATGAAAGGGTAAATACTGGATAGGAAACTGTTTTCACAAGGGTCAGAGAGGAAGCGTGATCCAGTGGTTAGGGCAGTAGCCTGCAACTCAAGAAAACTAGGTTCAATTCCCTATTCTGCCAGAAACTTCCTATACAAACTTGAGCAAAACTCTGAGTCTCTCTCTGTGTCTCCGTTTCCCCATCTGTAACTTAGGAGCAATAGGACTGCCCTCCTCAAAGGAGTGTTGAGGATAAATACATTATACTGGGATGTGCTCTAATACTATGGTAATGGGGCCATGTAAATACCTAGGATAGATATAATTCTCACTATATTTACATGAATTTGTTAATCTGTATATCTCAAATTGTGCTCTTCTCTGAATGTGCATGCTCGTTTGGTTTTCTCCAAATGACAGTGTATGTTAATTTAACATTAGATGAAAGAGAATGGGGCTATTGTCATACCCACTTCCTATCAGATTTCTTCCTGTCACTTGTTCCTGAAAAAAAAAAAAAAAAAAAAACCTCCTACTCTGAGTCATAATTAATTCTTCATATTAAAATTGTGTGAATCATTTATTTATTTCTATAAATGTCAAAATTATTAATTAGGGTTTTTCACTTTTTAAAATATCGAAGGTATAGAAGTGCCACTTTTCCATTACAATTGTTTCAGAAGGCTACTCATTATGTCTTTGATGAGGCTATTCCAGAGCAGGGATTACAGGATTGGATCCTTAGTAGATAGCAGAGGGCAGCTACATCTAGTAGACTAAGCCTAGGGCTGGGAGTCAGGAGGTCCTTGGTTTATTCCTGACTCTGCCAGTGAGTCGCTGTGTGCCCTTGGACAAGTTACTTAACTTTACTCTCTCTCTTTCCACATATGTAAAATGGAGGTGATAAAGTGCTTTGAGGTCTATGGATGAAAGGTCTATGAATTGCGGATTGGCAGAGAGGGTTACGACCCATCATAACTTTAGGGCACACTCCTGATTTTCACAAGTCAGAACCAGGTCCAGCGAGTCCTGAATTGATTTAATGTCCCCATTGTGTCAACGCTGCTTTTTTACAGCCTGACCCTTTATCCGCATGTGATGACATCATTTGATAATGTGATGATGTAACATAATCATGCACTGATAAAACATTATGGAGCAAAGGTAGAGAAGGCTGGTTTGGGACCACCTCCTCCAGCTGCTCCCAAGGCTAACCTCACTGTGGGCCCCTGAAAGCCAGTGCTGAGGCATCCGGGATCTCTGCCATTACTGAGTCTTAACTGGGGGTCTCGATTCATATATAAAGAAGTTTGGCTCAATCTTCGGGTCCCTGGTGTGGAAGTAAGAGGGCCCATTAGGTGGAAATCTGTATGTTTGAAACTGTGATGGGTTTTTTCTCTTTCTTATGTTAAGGAGGTGAGCTTTTTACCTGGGGACAGAACTCACATGGTCAGCTTGGAGTGGGGAACCAGATTGCCTTTACCGACAAACCACAACTGGTGCGGGAGCTCAGAGGCATCCCACTGGCTCAGATTGCTGCAGGAGGAACTCACAGCCTTGCCCTGTCGCTCTCAGGAGCCGTTTACTCATGGGGGAAGAATGATTTTGGACAGCTGGGACTTGGAGACACACAAAGTAAGGAAAGACACAGAGCAGCGTGAAAAGTAAGGCGGGGAGGATATTTTCCTAACAGAGGAGCTTGACACAGACACAGAAACTATTAAGGATGCCAACCACCATCAGAGCAATGATGCCTGACAGTGTCTCTGGGAACAGCAAACGCAGATAAATTGGTGTTCCACTTGCTAGTTTGCCCTGATCTGCTACTGCCCATGGAAAAGCCAGCTGGAACAAGAGAGTTTGGGGTTTTATTTCCAGAGGACTAATCAATCATTTTACACTCCCACCCAGATAACATGGGCTCATAAAATGCTCAGGCCTACGAGTTCTCTCCCTGATCGCATTATGCTCTGCCTGTAGTTTGCAGCCTCCCTCCTTCAATTTTCTCTCACCTTGTATTTATAAAATTTATGAGAGAGAAAATTAGATGTCCAGATTTGGAAATGTTGGTGGATTTTTAAAGTTAGGGTCATAAAATCATATATATATATATATATATATATATATAGCCTGATTTTCAGAGGTACTGAACACCCACAAAAGTCAATGGGCACTACAGGTGCTCGGCACCTTTGAAAATCAGGCTGTTTATCTAGGTGCATAAATATGGATTTAAGAGCCTAATTTAAGGCCCTCAGATTTGAATATTGGCCCAAGTTTTATTCTTAGTTCTAACTACATAAATATGTAAAACAACCAAATAAACAAACTTGCCAGGGTATTATGAAGCATTCTGCATTGTAACAGAACGTGAATAAGCCTTGTAAGCAAGTTCTGTATATAGGGGAAAAGGCTGCTTTTTTTTTAAGAAGTAATTCCAAGGATGGTTATAAGTATTTTTCTAGACCTTTATTTGCTTTAGATTTACCAATGTCATCAATCTACATTGTTTTTCTTTTCAGACAAATATTACCCTTCATACATTAGAGCCCTAGAACATAAGAAGACTGTGTATATCTCGTGTGGTGGAGAGCACACTGCCGTTCTCTCACAGGTTTGGTTGAATTTGAATTCATTCACTTCACAGAGCACAAGAGAAGTTTAGCCCAACAGAGATGATACACTAACTAGTAGAGTGTTGATTCCCTGCAAGGGCAATATTTACATTTATGGGAATGTGAAGCTGGCCCCTGGCAGTTGCTAACTGAGTTTTATAGGACCATAGTCTACTTAAATTCCTGCAGAACATTAAATGAGGAGTTGTTCTCATTCAGCCATGGGTTATCAAAGAACCAAAGGGACATTCCAGTAGTGTCTGGCAGAAGCTGAAACTTTGAACCCAAGTACATGGGGACTGGATGTCTCAAGGCAATGTTAACAACACGCAGTTCAACTGTCAATGATCAAACATTATTACTTTTTGATGTTTTTTTATAGTGTCCTCACTTACTGAGAACAACAACAACAACTTATTTACTAAGTTTACTCACACGAGTAAAGCCCTTAAGCAATAGGACTACTCTCAGGAGTAAAGTTACTCACATGTATAGGTAATGCAGGATCAGGCTTTATATTAGCATTATTCAATTTGTATTTGCATCACCCATTCCCTGATCTATGGTCTATAGCATGTTCTTACTTGTATGTAGTGTAGTTGTAGCCCAGGATATTAGAGAGGCAAGGTGGGTGAGGTAACATCTTCTGTTGGACCAACTTCTCAGAAGCTTATCTCTTTTGCCAGCAGAAATTGGTCCAACAGAAGCTATTGCCTCACCCACCTTGTCTCTCTAATGTCTTATCTGGATAATCAACAGGACTATCCATGTGAGTGAAGTTGTGTAAGCATTCATGAGATCTGGTCCATAGTTGGCATTACCATCTTTTAAGTGTGTGCTATTTTGAGATTACATGACCCTCATGTCTATTTGTTCCTCTCCAAGGATGGGCTGGTGTGTACCTTTGGAGCTGGAGATTATGGGCAACTTGGTCACAACTCCACCCAGAATGAACGGACACCTCGTATTGTGGCTGAGCTGTTTGGAGCAAGGGTGTCTCAGATAGCATGCGGAAGGTAGGAAACGGCAATGTCCTTGAAGCTTTATAATGACAAGGAGATAACTTTGCGGAGATTTTGGGAAGCACTGGAGGATGTTAGGAAAAGAAATCTCTAAGTCACTTTTTTCAGATCCCCTTATTTTAATGGCTCACAGCTGATAAAACGTGTGTCTGGTCAATAGTCTATTTATTAACTTTTCCACACACAGACCCTGCCCTGCATTGAGCTTCATGAGAACAAAGTCCCGCTCCAATGGCGTGAGCAGATTTAAAAATCATACTGTACCCATAATCCCTGGCTGCTCTCACCAGGTGATGAAGAATACATACATGTGTCAAACAGAAAAGGACCATCAAATTACCTAACAGGGACGAAATCTACCAAAATTTCCAGTCAATCCCTGTACAACATGGGAAAATGGGTGTTACTGAGCAGTTACAATCTAACTGTGAATGATGGAAACTATGAAATTATATTCAGTCATTAACAGCCTGATACAATGTCCACTGAAATCAACAGAAAATCTCCTGTTGACTCAGACCTAAAACCACAGGAAATATGTATGCTTGCCAAATGGAAAAATATCAACGCAGAACACTTTACTGTTTGTAATTCTCACTGGTTCAAAATTAGAAAATAAAGAGCTATCTAGAAGCAGTGGAACCGTGTTCATTTAACTAAAGATGCACAGATTGTTCTTTCAGTTCTGCATGTTTATTGTAAGGAGCACCCTACAAATTTGACTGGAGGGCTTCTGTAGCATGGTTCTCAGTAACTTTAATGGGAAGCAGCCCCATGTACTGCTCTGAAAATGTGCCTGTATGTATTATCCTAAGTAGCTCAATGGCGCTCTTAGATTGTCCATTTTCTTTCTCTGAACAGATGGCACACGCTCGTCTATGTCCCCTCCTTGGGAAAAGTCTATTCATTTGGTTGTGGAGCAGAAGGGCAGCTGGGCAATGGTGACACATCTAATCGGTTGATACCACTGCCTGTCGAATTACCTTCAGAGTGGGTGAATGGTGGAAAACTCAACCAGGGTAATTTGCACAGTAGATCTTTATGAGCTGTACTTTGTTATTTTAGGTCCAAACTAGGGAGGAGTTAGGTTTTTTTTTTTTTAAATGAAAAACGCATTTTGTTTAACAAGGGGAGTGACAAGAGCGTGGGAGAGAGAGGGCTGGGAACAAGGAGATTTGTCCCTAAACATTGGACAGCCTGAAAGCAATTGAGATGATTGATCTTACAAACACTTGAGAAGAACTAAGTAGATATTTGTGTGGGGAACCTCCTGCCAGGATAAAGTCACTAACTGCTATTTTCTCCTTCAAATTGGGCAAACTCATGAGAATCACACTCACTTCCAAAGGCAAAACTTGCCATCTTTCTCCCTAGCCTGAATAAATGAGTGGTTTCCCTGATGACTAACGTACTAGAGAACTCTGGGGGAAAACATTCCGGCAGGGTTGCTTAGCCCGAAGCAACAGTTACCCTGGTATCTTCTTTACCTCTCAGCCTGACCTCTAAATAAGCTGTCACCGGGTAACTGTCCCCTCTAAGGGGAGATGGGGGCCAACTACACCTGTGCCACCATGATTAATTAGCTGCTTCCCACCCTGAGGGGGCAGGACTAAGGAGAGGTCAAGTGATAGATTAGTGAACACCTGGGCCTTTTGAAAGCGCTGTGTGAGATCAGTCTGAGTTGGAACCACAGGGAGTTGGCTCCTGAGGAAGGCCCTGAACTGAGGTTTGGATGGAAATGGTACTCCAGGGGAGCAAGCCTAGGGGCCGCGTGCTCTATCCCAGAGGCAGCTATATTCTCAAAAGTTAGCCCAGAAAGGGGCTGGGAATGGGGCCAGGAGGGCATTGCTGAAGGGAAGCCCTGAAGGGCAGAAGCCCTTTTGCTTGTTTGGGAGTTTTTAGTTTGGACTTTTACTACCTTGGAACAAGTAACGTTTGCTTGTCACTTGGCCAGAAGGTTAAGCCACATCTCCATCACAGCCAGGTACCTGGAAAGCCAAGGAGAGAACCTTTGGGAAGGAACCTGAGGCAGGGAGTGCTGGCTACACCACAGCGAGCCAGCAGGGGGTGTTACTGAGCAGCCATGGCATAGATGTTAAGGGTCAACTGTGGATTCTGGTATCTCTGTACCTTTCTCCTCTTCAGGCAATGTACTGAAGGCTACTCTTACTGCTGTGCTGTTCAATCTATTTAATTGTCTCAGTTGCCTCTTCTCTGATCCAATGCAATTGTAGAAAGAACGTCATGCCTTAAAGGGTTGCTTAATAGCTACTTACATCATTGTACGTACTGCTGTTCAGCTAGATGTGCTGCACATTCTCATTCGCTGGATTTTTTTACAATTAAGTCATTTTAAATTACTTCACACCTTATTCTGAAACTCAGATTTAAACCTTTTCAATTAGTCTTGTCCATGGGGCATTGACTGAGTCTAGTAATGCTAGAGATGTGGAAACCAAGCTAGTGAAGAGCCATCGACTCCGGTCCCAAACTCCATTTTAATGAATAGGACAGATGTCTTCTCAACAGCACACCCTGGCCATAACTAGGCAGTTCTTAAGAGGATTATAGCAATAGTTTTTCACTGTTGCCCTCTATGCTCCTAGGTTTGTAGCTGTTTGGGGCATCTGGGATATATCCAGATCTCTCTCGTATATTGGGTAAACATGCAGTGATATTGAGGGCAGATCAAAATTAGCTTCTTATTCCTTTTTTATATTCCCTTATTAAAAAAAAAACCATATTACAAAGTTACAGTTGGAAACCGTTATATCACACTTTTCTAACAACAAAGTACAAGTAACAAAGGAAAATACGGAAAATAATGAGGAACACTAGCTAGATAGCACCACAAAAACTGTACAGTAAGCAACTAAGGAAACACACTCCCTCTTTATGGGCTTATTATAACCTTAAGGTGACTCAGGTTAACCTGCAGTGGCCAGCCTTTACCCTTCTCAGAAATGGGATTCCTCTGGGTTTTGTATTGAGGAGAATGTGACTTTCCTTGGGTCTCTTCAGGCTTGATAACCACTAGAATCCCACTCTTCCGTGGAAGGAGCTCTGCCTCTGTGTTGCAGATCTGGAACTAAGGCCTTCCATGAACTAGAGACAAACCCAGCTCCCCTGAGCTGGGGCTTCTCCACAGCTGGCTTCTTCCTGCCAACCAGAAGATGCAGGAACTTGCATGCTGCTTTTAGATTGGCCAGCCACCCTCTTCCAGTGTCCCCACGCTGCTTGCTGAGCCCATCAGAGATACATTTACTCTTTCACCACGATAAATAAATGTTATATAGAATCATTTCTGGGGCTGGGAGCTTTTGATTAGTTTTTAAGGTTTGTTTTTATAAGCCTTGTCCTTGCACTGAACTTTCTAAAGATAAGGGGTTGTTCTTTGGCTCATCCTTTTCTTCTTTATCCCTTCACAGGAAACAGTACCTCCGAAAAGGTGATTAAAATTATTGCGGGAGGAAACCAAAGCATTGTGCTTTGCTTGAAGAAAAAGGTATGCAAAGTATCTGATATGTTTTTAACTATGTAGTTCATGACCAAGGCTTCTGCTTTGCTGCTGTTGAGCCACATATGAATTTGGATTTGCCATCTAGACCATAATAGGTTTTTCTTCCAAAATCACAGCACTCTCCCCACCTCCCTCCATCCCTTCACTGAGACCAAATTGTGTCAGAAAAGCAAATATCTCTCTCGCTGTCTCTCTCTCATGACATCATTTCTGTATTTTATGCTTGTGGTATTGTCTACTGATTGAAAGCCCATTTGTTCACTCAGTTTGGCCAACAGAAGGTTCTGATCCTAGCTAACCAGAGTCTCATCTACTGAGCTTCTAACCTCATTAACATTCTTGCCCCTTTTATACAGAATCCATATGTTACTTTGAATGGAATTGCCATAGCGGAAGACAAGGAGGTGGATAAATGGATTTCTAATTCAGATCCTAAACAGTGGGAGAATATAAAGAAGTAAGTCAGATCCCTGGTGGGTTTTTCCATTAATACTGTAAATGCTAAACCTTCAAAACACTGTATTTTCTTGGTACAGGTCTTCCCTTTCAAAAAATCTTGTAAGGAGTGTAATTAAAAGGACTATGGCAGAGACTCAGAATTGGATATTTGCTTGTTTGCTGTTTTGAGACTCAGTCCAGCACACTTACTGCGTCTTTGCTCAGGCGAAACTCACATTAATGAAGTAAGGGCTCTAGTGTTTGGCCCTTGGTCACCATTTTCTTGCAAAAAGATGGAAGTGGACATTTCACAAGTACAGCAGTTGAGACACACTGGCCAGCTTTAGGAGTGTATCCTCCTCTTATAGCAAATATATACTTGCCACTAGTGTTACTGGGAGTTAAGAGCGCACATCCAAGGGGAGACTCAACCCTCAAAAGGGGTGGCCTTAAAACAAAAGAGCCTGATGCAAAGTCCATTGAGCAGCATGGCTGGAGTTTTCAGAAGGACTCAGCATGCACAATTGGTGCCCAGTTTTCAGAGGTGCTCAGCTCTTTTAGGCACAGAAACAAGTGGGCAGATTTTCTTAATAACTTGGTACATTGGGATGCTGAACACTTCTGAAAATCTCGCCTTTTTGAGGTGCCTGAAAGGGAGCTGACTTTCTTTTGGGAAATCTGGCCCCAATTATGCATGCTGAGTACTTCAAAAACTGGCTCTTTTGAAAAATCTGTCCCCACATGGCTAATTTGGATCTCAGTGATTTTCCAAGTATTTTTAATCTAAGGTAAGTGGTAAGGACAGTGGCATGTAGAACAACTGGCATCTTTAAATCACAAACCAATTTGTACACATCTTTGCTGTTTGTTCAGACTGAATAGCTGTTGCTGCTGCTTTTGTTGGAATGATTAATTCTGGGTTGTTTTCGTTGTTGTTTTAAATTAACAGGACTATTTGGCTGATCTTTTCATCTGAGGCTTGTGTCAATGGAAGTTTCTTGGACAAAAGGTAGAGTGCACTAATTTGAAAACAAAATAGTACATCAGCTGTGTATAAATTGGTCAGAAATTAGCTACATTACAATGAATGTAGAGATTGATAGGATTATCTGGATTTGTAAAATACAAGTCTATAGAATATTTTTCAAGGAAAGGCTAAAATTCTCCTCTGATCCACATAATAGATCTTGACCAAGATTTTAAAAAATGAGTGCCTAAAATTAAGCTTCTAAATTCACATTTAGGCACTTAAATAAGTGGCCTGATTTTCAAAGGTGCTGAGCAAACCCAGGTCCCATTGAGGTCAGTGGGAACTAGGGGTGCTCAGCACTCTTGCAAAATCTAATCACTTTGTTGCCTGAATATGGACGTGGGGGCCAAGATTTAGGCATCCACGTTTGAAAAATTGTCTTGTCTCCAGAACTCTGCTCTCCTTGCATGCTTCCATCGCCCACTAATGTAGAGAGAGCAGAGGATCTGAGCGGAGGTTTATCACATGGATATGAGAAAAGCACTTTACCCAAAATGAAGATCAGACAGGTTTGTCACATATTAACATTTACTGTTAATGAACTTACATTTATATAGCATCTTATACCCAGAAGGATTCCAAATCATTTCACAAATGTTACTTTACCCAGCACTGAAATGCAACCACTTCTAAGGTGGAATATGGCAAGCAGCTGATTAACAACACACAGCCACACTATGTGAGAGTTTAGAACAGGGAGTATGGAATATCATTCAACTGATGCTGCAGTGAGAATTTCTTGGTAGGCAGAATATAATTATACTAATTGGAATTAGGGTTTAGCATTTCTCAGAATGTACATTCCCTTCACACCCAGGGATTGTTAAAATGCTTCAAAGTTTAGCCAGTAATACACAGCAGAAGAGCAGATCTTTCACATCCCTGATTTTTCTTCCCTTCCAGTAGAGACAAACATTTCAGAACCTCCAAAGAAATCTCAGGCGTAGATATGTCAGCAGTGCTTCTTTTTTATGAGAAGATGAACAAGAAACCAAAAGTCTACCAGGAGGTAAGAAGTGGCGTAGAAATGATACTTGTTACACTGATACCCAGTAGCTTTGGATCATCGCATTTTTTTTCTACAAAGGGATGCTGACAAAATGTAGTTCTGGGTTTTTCAAGTGCTTTATAGACCCTACCATAAACAGGAAAAAAACAAATCTACTACCTCTCAGAGCTGCTTCCAGTGGAGCAAAGAGAGTTTTGTTTGTGTTATTTCTTTGTATTAAATTAGGAGTCGCCAAGATATTATGGCGATGAAGGCCATATAATGACTGAGGTTGACATAATGTTTTCATGGTGGTTTTGTTGTGTTTTTTTGTTTTAAGCTTGTTTTCCTAATTCAAACTCTCCCTGCTAGAGCAACAGAAACAGAAAGGGAAACTGACTAGAAGTGAAATTGATCAATCTGCAAAATGGTGGTGCAGAAGGTGTGCATTGTGCTCGGCACTGTACAAACACAGAATGCGAGATGGTGCTTCTCTCAAAAAGCTTACTGTCTCTAAATTGGCAGGGATATGGGACAAGGGTGGAAGAATTATTATTATCCTAATTTTAGAGATGGGGAATCTGAGGCACTGACAGATTAAGTGATTTGCCTAAAGTCACACAGGAAACCTGTGGCAGAGACATGAATTGAGCCCAGATCTCCTGAGTCCCAGTTCAGCGTATGAAAGAAGATGGGACGTGAAATTGGGAATTCTGAATTGCTCTTGCTGCTATAAGTAATAAATTATTATGGCAAAGCTCCGCTGCATTTTTTTATTTCTTTTGTCCCCTTGCTCCCTCTATCCCCCAGATGATCTCTGCAGTTGAGAAATTGCTGTCATCGCTGTCTTCCTCTCCCAGCTCACCTGAAGCTCTCAGGATCTACCTGATCATTCCTGTCCTTTCACGGGGACAGGATAACATGTCTTACTGTCTTCTTGATCGGCTAGCAGAAGCCATCCTGAGTCTCCAACAAAAAGACCTGAAAGTTCTTGGTAAGGCCTGATAGCAGTACAACTGGATCATCTGAGTTCTTCAGCACTTTCTGGGGCGGGATGGGGAAATACTCCCATTGACTTCAGTTGGGCCAGGATTTCACCCCAGATATTTTCTACAATGGAAAAGGGTTTTGACAAGCTGCTTATGTAGAAATACATGCAAAGGGATAACTTGTCTGGAGCAGTCTACAGATAAAAGCATTATATGAATTTGAGATTTACTAGTTTAGTTTAAAACCAAGTGCTTTATTCAGTTCATTTGAAAACAAAACGAACTGCTGTTTGTCCAAAGGACAGATCTTACTAAGGACTATTTGTATGTTGTCTAAGGTAGAGATGTCAACAGTTGTTTTCTTTACAGAATCCCTGTGGTCAAATCTAGAAATATCCTTTTTCAAGGACCTAGTGAGCATGTATCAAAGGGTTTCCAGAATCAATCTATCTCTTTTCATCATGCAAGTCAGAAACTCTGAAGAAGTTACCTGTGAACCACACTTGAATAGGACTCTGAAAATGCTGCAGATTCTTTACCAGGTAGAAAAGCATTTGGCTCTGGTGGGTTAGAAAATACACATACGATTCGAATATTTTTTCATGAATTTATTTCTTGAATTTATGAATGCATGGCTTTCATACCTAGGGTGACCAGATAGCAAGTGTGCAAAATCAGGACAGGGAGTGGGGGGGGCAATAGGCACTTATATAAGACAAAGCCCCAAATATCGGGACTGTCCCTATAAAATTGGGACATCTGGTCACCCTATTCATACCTGAGGTACAAGTGCTGATTACAGAGCAGTATACACTTTGCCCTATCCATGCTAAGAGACTGGAACTGTAATATTGATTTGCCCCATTACCAGGCCCCATTGGTCCACTACACAAGAATAACCTGCATAGGGGTCTGCAATAAGTGAGTCTGAACTCTATTTCCCTCTTATTCTTCCATTAGGGGACTGCCCCATGTTTTGTGGGCCCCACCCCAGGGGCAGGTTGAAATGTGAGTGTGATGTTTGCTGGTTACACTCTAATGCTGCAGAAGTTTTTTCACACTGATGAGCTGCTCTGAGGTCATAATAACTTGAATCCTCTGGAGAGCTAGGGGTTCTCTCCCCTTTTATTACTGTCCTGGATGTGCAGCCTCACAGATTCCACCCCCTCTTCCTGTTTCATTCACCACTTCATCCACCACTTTCTTAACTCTCTCTCAACGGGCCCGTGCACCAGTTCTGGACACATGACTTTCTGAGCACCCCCACTGGATTTGCCCCACCGTTGGCATAGGATTTGGAGGCAGATGGGAAGTTGAAGGGAACTCGGGTAAACTTACACACTGAATCTTGGGCCTTAAATCATGGGGACCCTAAGCTAATACCTTTGCTGGAAGCCCTGGGTTTGTTTGAATTAGCACTGCTTGATTTTTATTTACTGACCTGACTAGAATCTGTTTTTCTTCTGATTCCTCCCCCGTCTCTCCATATTTGCCACTTCTAAGTAAAAGGCCTTTCTTTGTCCCTCTCATCCCCGTTTGGTGGAATTTTCTCCCTTGGGAAATCTACACTGCAAGTTCATTATGTCATTCTAAGATATGGCATAATACAAAGGGCCTGATTCTCATTTACACTAAGGCCCCTTCTCTTAGTAAAGAAGGGCCTTAAGTGAGTATAAATGCAATATGTGCTCCCTGTCAGCGCTGTGCAAAGGAGCTTTGGGGTAAAAGAAAATGAGGCCCATGGAATTCTCAATTAATGCACAGAGCAGACTACGATTCTTAGCTGTAGGGTTTTATAGTTATTGTATTGTTTTTGCACTTCTGCCCTTGTCCACTGCTTTGTGTACAAAAGTGCTATGGTACATTTGCAATATAGTTCTGTTTTATAGATTGTGTGCCTAGCTCATAGGATCTGCTGGCCATTTCCTTTTAACACTGTACGTATCGATGCAGGTGAACTCCAGTGCTGGTTTCAAAATACAAGAAAACAACTTCTATGTACCTGAAGTGAAAATGATTTGGGGACAGAATTGGCATTTGAATGAAGGAACAGTAAGTATAACGTCTTTCCAAAACTGCAGTATATTTTCTTGTTGTTATTTAGGAAGTTAGAGATATTGGGGCCAAATTCTTGGGTCCAGCCCTTCTATCTCCAGTACAGCTTAGAAAGCTTTACATCCTCTCCGGTCCTGTGGCTACTGGGCATTAAGCTGGCCCCGATACACCATTCAGAACAGCAAGGCTCTTCTAAGTTGTGCCAGCTGCCCATGACTGCCAAGGTGTTTTGGCAGTCAGAGATCGACTGGACACAGTCACGCCCCAGCGACACCTCCTTTTCCATGGCCACACACCCCCTTCACTGGGGGCTTGGAAGCAGAGTTAGCAAAGGAGGAAACATTGGTGCTACGTGATCTGGAGATTCCCCCATGCCTGACGTAGCCAATCCATTGGCCAGTCGCTGCAAAGGGAGCCAGGATCTGGCCCATTATATGTCCTCTTATTTTTGTGTTTATCCATTCAGAATTAATGGACTCTTATACAGTCCTTTGAAACTTTTCACCAGGAAGCCAACAGAACATTTTAATTTCCTTTGAGTCATGGAAAGGAGCTAAGACCCGCTCTACAAACTAATTTGCACCGGTTTAACCAAAGGCATTGTTTCTGATTCTTGTAGTTAAACTGGTGCAAAGCCCATTTTTGAATGATATTAAAATTGACATAAGCCATTTTAAAACTGATTCAAGAGTGTCCACACAGGGCTTTGCACTGCTTTAATTTAAATGAGTCTTATATAGGAATATGCAGAAATTGCATCTGGGAGAATGGGGTATGACTTCAGGTCTCATGCTGATCAGATGTGTATTCATTATTTCTAACTAGCAGCTATAATTCTGCACACAGTGCTAAGTGTTTGTTACATGAGGCTGTTTTATAGATTTTCACCTTTTCTTAGCCATAGATTTAATCAGGTCTTGTCTTCCTTAGGGAATATGCCCTGATTCCATATATCAGTGACTAGCCACTGATACAGCTGCATCAGGGCAGCCCCTAGCATAGAGAGTGGGTTATACGCCATGATTTGCACTATGCAAGGGGAAGGTGCACCCGTGCAGATCACAGCTGCTTGTGGCTGTCAATACTAGGGGTTTGCACTAGTTCAACTACATCCATGGTTTGGCACTGATGGCTGAAATCCTCAGCATAGACCAGGCCTAAACTTCATCCTTGAGGTCTCGCCTATCTTTATCTAATAGCGGACTTTGGTTTTGAATCTCATTTGTTCTTAGTTGGCAGAGTTTGATGTCTGTTTGTTGTGTGCTTAGGCAGAGAAAAAAAAGCCGAGTCCTGCCGGCTGAGCAAAAAAAAAACCCAGTGCTGCCGGCGGATATCGGGACAAATTGCGTCCCGACCAAAGATTGGTCAGGACGCAGGACAGACACCGAAATATCAGGACGTCTGGTCACCCTATGTGTGCTTGCTGCTTGACTGAAGTATGCAGTGTGGTTTGTTGGGGGGCGGTGTGCTGAGCCTAGTGGCCTGCTAGGCAAGGCTGAGAGCGTCTTAAGGAGGCTTTGATCCCTAAGCCCTTTAGGATCCATTAACTGTTAACTAGGGGGCAGGACTACTCGCCCTCTCAGTTTAACATTCTCTCAGTTTAGGCCAACAAACACTCCCCCACCCAAAAAAGCTGCAGGAATATAAAAGAATGCAGGCAGAAGTCCAGCAGTAGAGTAGGGTCTATCCAGTTTATTGCATTGAATGTATGATTACCTGTCTGTGGGCAGGTGGCATATGTGTCTATTCGGTGCAAGGAGCTCATGGTCCTCACAGACCGAGTATGGGCTCTGGAGACCAGAGTGGCTGAACTGGAGGAGCTAAGTGAGACAGAAAGGGACATAGACGAGACTTTCCAGGACAGCGTAGAATAGTGCCCCCCTCCGCCCCCGCCCCAGTCTGAAAGCCTCTGTGCTGTTGAGGAGGATGAAAGTCTTGGGGAAGGAGAACATCAAACTGGAGCAGAGGGAAATGATTCCATAGTTGGGAACCTCCTTCCAGATGATGTCACGGTATCCTCTTGCACTGAGGATACCTCTCTGGGGGAAGAAATCTCAGTTATTAGGAAGAGATGGCTAATAGTGATGGGAGATTCGATCATTAGAAATATAGATAGCTGGGTTTGTGATGACCGGGAAAACTTCGTGGTACATATAGGTACCAATGACGTAGGGAAGGATAGGAGAGAGATCCTGGATGCCAAATGTAGGCTGTTAGGTAAGAGATTGAAGTCCAGGACCTCCATGGTAGCATTCTCTGAAATGCTTCCAGTTCCACGCGCAGGGCCAGCTAGTCAGGGAGAGCTGCAGGGTGAGACAATGGTGTAGGGAGGAAGTTTTAGGTTTATTAGGAACTGGGGAACCTTTTGGGAAAGGAGGAACCTATACAGGAAGGATGGGCTCTTCCTAAATCACAACGGAACCAGATTGCTGGCATGTAAAATTGAGAAGATTGTGGAGGGCTGGAGGGGAAGCCGACAGGTATAGAGGACTGATACATCCCATAGAGGAGACTCTATTAACAGGGATTCTCTATATTCTAGTAAAGATGAGAGGATAGAAGTTGATAGAGTACAGGTAGAAACTGAAGAGAAAAAGTCAAATGAAAAAGTGTCCCATTCAATTACATCACATGAAGGCAGACAACTAAAAGTGACAAATTTTATAAATACTGTATACAAATGCTAGAAATCTAAATACTAAGGTGGGTGAATTGAGTGCCTGGTATTAAATGAGGATATTGATAAATGAGGATTAAATGAGGATTTTGATGCATCAGAGAAACTTGGTGGAACGATGATAATCAATGGGATATGGTAATACCAGGGTACAAAATATATAGAAATGACAAGAATAGATCATGTTGATGGGGGAGTGGCACTCGATGTGAAATAAAGCATGGAGTCAAATATAGTAAAAAAAAAAAAAAAAATTAAATGAATCAAACTGGATCATAGAATCTCTATGGATAGAAATTCCAAGCTTGAATAACAAGAGTATAGCAGTAGGAATATACTACCAACTACCTGACCAGGATGGTGATCATGAAATGCTCTAGAAGAATAGAGAGGCTATAAAAGTAGAAAATTCAATAATATTGGGGGATTTCAGCTATCCCCATATTGACTGGGTACATGTCACCTTGGGATGGGATATTGAGATAAAATTTCTAGACACCATTAATGACTGCTTCTTGGAGCAGCTTCTCCTGGACCCCACAAGAGGAGAGGCAGTTCTGGATTTAGTCCTAAGTGGAGCACAGGATCTGGTCCAAGAGGTGAATATAGTTGAACCGCTTGGTAATAGTGACCATAAAGTAATTAAATTTAATATCCTTGCGGGAGGGAAAATACCAAAAAAGCCCAGCACAGTAGCATTTAACTTCAGAAAGGGGAACTACACAAAAATGAGGAAGCTAGTTAAAGAAAAATTAAAAGGTACAGTCACAATAGTGAAATGCTTTCAAGCTCCATGGAAACTTTTAAAAAACACCATAATAGAGGCTCAAATTAAATGTATACCCCAAATTAAAAAACAAAGTAAGAGGACCAAAAAAGTACCACCATGGCTAAACAACTTAGTAAAAGAAGCAATTAGAGACAAAAAGGTGTCCTTTAAAAATTGGAAGTCAAATCCCACTGAGGAAACTAGAAAGGAGCATAAACTCTGGCAAATAAAGTGTAAAAATAGAATTAGACAGACCAATAAAGAATTTAAAGAACAACTACCCAAAGACTCAAGAACTAACAGCAAATTGTTTTTTGAGTACATCAGAAACAGCTGCCAAACAATCAGTGGGGCCACTGGACAATGGACGTGCTAAAAGAGCACTAAAGGAAGACAAGACCATTGCAGAGAAACCAAATGAATTCTTTGCACCCGTCTTCACTGCGAAGGATGTGAGGAAGGAAGATTCCCACACCTGAGCCATGATTTTTAGGTGACAAATCTGAGGAACTGTCCCAGATTGAGGTGTCAATAGAGGAGGTTTTGGAACAATAAATAAATTAAACAGTAATAAGTCACCAGGACCAGATGGTGTTCACCCAAGAGTTCTGAAGAAACTCAAATATGAAATTGCAGAACTATTAAGTGTGGTGTAACCTACCACTTAAATCAGCTTTTGTACCAGATGACTGGTGGATAGCTAATGTGACACCAATTTTTTTAAAAGGTTCCGGAGGCGATCTTGGTGCATTCAGGCCAGTACGCCTAACTTCAGTGCCAGGCAAATTGGTTGAAACTATAGTAAAGAACAGAATTATCAGACACATAAATGTTGGGGGAAGAGTCAACATAGCATTTGTAAAGGAAAATCATGCCTCACCAATCTATTAGAATTCTTTTAGGGGGTCAACAAGCATGTGGACAAGGGTGATCCAGTAGATATAATGTATGCGGACTTTCAGAAAGCCTTTGACAAGGTAACCAGTAAAGGCTCTTAAACAAAGTAAGCAATCATGGGCTAAGAGGGAAGGTCCTCTCATGGATCAGTAGCTGGTTTAAAAAATAGGAAATAAAGGGTAGGAATAAATGGTCAGTTTTTGGAATGGAGAAAGGTAAATAGTGATGTGCCCCAGGGATGTGCACTGGGACCAGTGCTGTTTAACTTATTCATAAATGATCCGGACAAAGAGGTAAACAATGAGGTGGCAAAATTTGCAGATGACACAAAATTACTCAAGGTAGTTAAGTCCAAAGCTGACTGTGAAGAGTTCCAAAGGGATCTCACAAAACTGAGTGACTGGGCAACCAAATGGGAGATGAAATTCAGTGTTGATAAATGCAAAGTAATGGACATTGGAAAACATAATCCCAACTATACATACAAAATTATGGGGTCTAAATTAACAAGGTAAGAGAAGGGAGCAGGGGAGGGAAGAGTAGAAATAATACCAAAGCAAACACTAAATAACACACCAGCTGAGGTTTCTCCCTATTCAGTATAGAACCAGTTTTTCTTTTTGATGTGGCATCTTGAATTAGGATATTTTGTATAATAATATCTATTTTTGAATATTTTCTAAAAGATACCAATAATAATGAATCATTTTGCTAAATTTGTGCAATGATTACTCATTGGTCCAGATGTTCACGTTACTGGTACGTAACTCATTCTTTTGTACAGTGCTTTGCAGTATCTGAAGTATGAAAGGTGCTATTAAAACTCCTATTCTCTTTTTTTAGACTTTCGAGCAGTGGAACAAAAACCTGATTTCAAAGCATTTGGAAACAGTAAGCTATATTTCATATCCAATTAGAAACTAGCCTTTGGACATTAGCATTAAAATTTACTTCTTGTTGTCTCCATGAACTTTACAGGAATACTCAGTCATCCAAAAAATCCCAGACAGTTAGTAGAGATGGTTCTGAGTGAAAATTAGTCATAAGAAACAGAGGGGTGCAAAATGTTTGGTTGGAACACAGAACCCACCAGAATTCAAGCTGGGTTTGGATTTTAGTCTTTTCACTAAACATTTGCCTAAGTCTCTAAAGGTTTATCTGGCCTGAGCCCCACACCTCCTGCCCTACACACACCCTTTCCTGACCTCAGTTTTCTTTGAAATGGGTCTGGGGTCTGACTCCCCCCAGCATCTCTATAGTGTACAGTTTCAGGGATTGACAGGGAAGAATTACTGTCCTTTTTAATTCCTACAAAAGGAGGCGCTGGGTTGAAAATAGTCCATCCTCTAGGGCAGGGGTCAGCAACGTTCGGCATGCGGCTCGCCAGGGTAAGCACCCTGGTGGGCCGGGCCAGTTTTATTTACCTGCTGACGCAGCAGGTTCGGCCG